AGTTAAAATTCTACAAAAAAATACAATGGATATTTAATAATAATTTTTGAAAGTGAGAAAATAAAATTCTTTGAAATATAAAATTCATTTTAATGAAATTTGACAAAATTTCCTATTTCTCTAATTTTTAAAAATTATTTTCGGGAATTGAATTACTGTTAAAAAATTTTAATAACGATGTTTTAAAAACCTCAATTCCTCAGAATTTTTAAATAGAATTTTACATATTTCATTTATTTTTATTTAATAAATATTTAAATACTTATTGTTATTTATTTGTTTATCAGGAATCAAAATTTCGAAATACTTGCAATACAAAACCTTTTGAAATTTAATTATTTCTAAAAATTTGAACTGCAATTCTTTTAAATCTTCAAATATTTTCAAAAAATTTAACTGAAATTCGTTTTTAAATCAATTCTTATCAAAAAGTTGTAAAAGAATTCAATTATTTAAATACAAAAATAAATGATAACCTAATTGATTTTTTCTAAAAATTGCAACTGTAACTCTACTCTGCTTATGGATCTTTTCTTAGTTTGAGAAAGAAAATTCATAGACTATTTAAGATTTTTAATAATTTATGATATTTTTTGAATACTTTATATATAATTTCCTTACTTCACTTATTGCCCTGTCCTACGAAAATCCTGTTACTGTCAAAATTCTAGAGGAATTAATTTAAATAAAAAAATTAAATTAATAAAATTTTAAATAAAAAAAACAGAATATCTCGATTATACTATATTATATAAATTATAGAATAATTAATATAATAATTAATTATGCATGAGAGAAATACATTTCTTTAAATTTTTCCCCCTCTCAATTCGAGGTGTGACGAGAGATAAAATTTGAATAATCATTTGAATACTATATTAATTGAAAAAAATGAAAATAATTTGAGCGCTAATCCACTTTTTTCGCGTGTACATGGAGGTTAATTAAAACAAGTAATCAGCACGGAATCCACGTAGATGTAAACTATTTAAAAAATCGTGTTTTCTTTCCTAATGATCGTTCGCCTTCACGCTCTTACTTCCTCCTTGATCGTTCTAGCTTGGATCGTCCAAGAGTGACGAATAAAGAATTTAAAAGGAGAAATTATATCTCGGCCACTGTCAATGGTCCATGCAATTGAGTTCATCAGAAAATTTTTCAGTTCAATTGTAACAATTATTATTATTATCATTATATTTTAATTTTTCGATTGAAAAAAATTTATACCACGAAGACGATAAATGATTTTTTTAAAAAGTATAAAAATTTAATTAATCATTCACCGTGGGAGATGAAGAGAGGAAAAAAATTTAAATATTCTACGCGAAAGTAATTATTTTCATCGTCGAAGAAACAGACCGGCAATATTGACATTGAGAGAGGCTGTTAGGAATCGGTTTCGTATTAAAGATTGTATATATAGAAAAATTTCGATTTTCCCATTCGTTCACTTTCACGCACTCCCCTGAAAGTGATAAAGAGTCGTCAACCAGTTTTTTTCTCTCCACACACACGCAGTGAAATTTGTTTCCAAGTTTATATAATTTATAACCTGCTGTTTACACTGCACTTTACTTTTGACATTCACTTTTCATGGGTGAAACAATTTTTATATTCTGGACGTGTTAATTTTTTTTTTCTGCCAGATTGATATAAATCTCTTTATTATTCCTCGTATAGTGAAAAACGATTTTTATTCACTAATTGAAATTGGATAATGGACGTTTAATTTTCTATTAGATGAGAGAAATTTTTTTTATAGAGAGAAAAATATGTATTTCTTCCAAGTCATTTTTTTAAATTAAAATTAAAATTTCTATGTAATTAAAATTGTGATTTGTATATAATTTGAATTTTTATATACAACTTAAATCAAATTTAATTGATTCCTAAAGTTTCGAACGTTCAAATGATGGAAAATAATTTTATTACTTCATTTAATTTGTACTTCATTAAAAAAAATTATTCTGGTATATTAAAAAAATTAGTTATAAGTGAAAATGTTTCATTTCCATTATTTTCCATTTTACTTAGTAAATTTTAAAAAATTTTCAAATGAAAAGAAAATTTCCTTCATTTAAAGGATGAAAACTTTACAAAAATCAAATTTTTATTTCTTTAAATTCAATTTATATATAATTTGAATTTTTACAAACAAAAAATTTTTTTTTTTGATTCAAATAATCGATTATTGTCTATTAATAAGTAAAAATATTTATTTGTATCAATTTGTATTCAAATCAATTAAATGGTATTTGCTTCAAATACCGAAATTATTGGTTCAAATCGCAATTTATTTGATTTGAATAGAAATTATTTGTTTAAAGTAAATATTTATTTGTTAACTGACAACTAATCGGTTGTCTGTTTTATTTGAACCATGTTAAATTTTTTGCAGTGTATAATTTTAATTAAATTTGAATTTAGAAACGAAATAAATAAATTTTGTTTATTAAAACGTTCAGAACGAAGAATTCAATATTTTTAATATTTATATACAATGAAAAAAATTTGTTTTGATTCAAATAAACGATTACTTGTGTATTATTAAATAAATATTTATTTGTACATGTCAAATAATTTTTATTTAAATAAATTAAATGGGATTTGTTTCAAATACTAAAATTATAGGTTCAAATACAATTTATTTGATTTAAATAATTCTTTTTATCAACTAAATATTTATTTGTTTATTCTTTTTTTGATAACAGACAAGTAACCGGTATATTTAAATCAAATAATTTTTCTTTCAGTGCATAGGTCACTGGATATCAAAAATCGAAATTTTTAAAACAATTTTACAAAATTTTGATATTTATAAAATAATAATAATTATTAATATTATAATTATATATTATAATAGAATAATTATTATTCTTTATAAAATTTCCTGACCTTAATAATAAATTTAAATATTTTAAAAATATTTTTCATTTATAATTCTGTTTCATACATTTAACTAATTCCCATAAAAATTTTTTTTTCAATTTTTTGTTTCAAATTGTTTTCTTCATTTTGATTCAAAAATAAGAGAAAAAAAGAGAGAGAGAAGGGAGATAAATATGTCAAAATAAAGGCGTGAATTTAAAAATCTGTATCGAAATGTGTCTTGTAACGTCAGCACGAATACGGATAAAATTGCACATTACCAGGAGCATTAGGATATTATCGAGCGGACCGTAAAGGTTGAATGCGAATCTTGCCGCTGATTTAACGCTCAGTTAAGAAGCTCGAGCATTACTCGAGGTGAATGAATGCATTTATGAACGCGTATACATGTATATATATATATAGGTGCCTGGGATTGTAGCTCCTGGTCCATTTTTTTTCCTTATTATTTTTATTTAAGAGTATTACCAATCCTACTTCTAGAATCATCAATTATTTTTTTTTCCTTACTCATAAAAAAGAAAGATAAATATGTATATGTATGTCCGGGATAAGTAATGGTTGCAAGAAAAATTTTAAACTCGTTTATATTGAGATTGAAAAAAACATTGAAATTCTGATTGACCGTTAAAATAACATAATAATATTTTACCCCGATAATAATGGAAAATATTTCTTTTTAATGAAAGAAAAAGAAGAAGAAGAAGAAACGAATATCTAATTTTTCTGTAAAACCGGATCTTGTGCCGGTACGGTAAAAGTTAGCATATGTAATAGTCTAAAGTTCAAAACTTTGAAGAGATTCACTTTAATATCGTAAATTAAATTTTCAGCTATCCTTTAGTTAATTAATTTCAATATTTATTTACATATATGTAATAACACTATCAATCATAATTGCACGAGCATTTCTTTTTAAGTTGCCTAATCAACAAAGTTAATTATTCAGAAAATATGCAATTACATAAGTTACTTTCAATTTGATAAATACGTGAGAAAAACGTTTTATATTATCCGAATATATTAAAATAATTTTTTAACTAGGTATCATTAATTAAATTATATTTTTTCTATTTCTTTTTTTAATTTTACTCTTTACATGTTTAATTTCAATTATATTTACTTTTTTCCCTTTCCCAATATTTTTTTATAATGTAAATTAGTCTCTTTTGATTAATATTGTCGTGTTCAATTTACGGAATTCTGTTTTTCAATTTTCAACTGAAAAACAGAATTAACAACAAGTGGAAATTCTGTGCACTCTATAATTTATTATTTCTAATTAAAATATTTCTTTTTTTCAATTTTAATCGCGAACAATTTACTCTACATGGAAATAATTACTTGTTCAATTTAATCACACTGTCGAATTTAACTCCCAATAATCAAATTTCCTTCTAATTGAAGTGGTTATTGTCTCATTGGGAATTAGTAATTATTAAACAAAAGCAAATAATGATAATTAATCTTCAAAAATTAAAATTCAATTTTGTTTCTATTTAAACAGTGACCTTTTAATTGAAACCGTAAACATGAAATTTATCTCCTTTCTATCAATTTTTGTCTTATTTTTTAATTTATTCAAAAAAGCAAAACAATTTTCCACTGGTTTTCAAAATTTTTCTTTTAGAAAACGATTTTTTTTTAATAAAAAAAATTTCTTTTCATAAAAATAAATTTATAAAAATAAATTTATAAAAAGAATTTTATAAAAATAAATTTATAAAAGTAAATTCTTTTTTATAGAAAGGAATTTTTTTTAACAAATAATTTTTATAATAAGAAAACTTGTTTATAAAAATAATTTTTTTTTTTTTTTTGCAAAAAGAAAACATTATTTCTTTGAAATAAAATAAGTGAATTCAGGGGGGAATAGATATTTTTTTTTTATACTCAGAAGTTGATGATATATCCAGTAATAGAATTCGTTGGGCGTTGAAGTTTCTTTTCACCCTCTATACCTTATCACTTTGATTATTAAAAACTCCTCGTTTTAAGCACCAGATTTTCACAAAAAGTAATTGATCATCGCGTTTGATAAGAGAAAAATTTTCATATTTTGAGATTAAATTTTTTTTTTTTTTTAAACTGAATAAAAATGGAACACTCACGTGCAACGAAGACGAGGAACAGTGCAATGACTAGACCAAGAGAGCAGCACCTAATTGAAGGTGGAGATGATCGCGTCATGATGTCTTCTTGGTTACTGTCACTGAAAGTTTCGACTTGGTATCCAGATAGCTTTACCAATCCCACTACACAATCTCTCTGTCTTGTCAATGCTTCACCTTATTCCCTGATGTTGCTCTGCCCATTCTCTTGCCCTCTTTCTCCCTCTCTTCATTATTATTTTTTTTCATATCTTGGCTTGTTTTTTTAAATTTGAAAATTGTCTCATATTTTGTCATCGAAAGATCTGGAATCTGGGTTCGTCCTTTCCGGTACATTGGCTGAAAAGACACAAATATTTTTAGAAAAAGAAATTTTATTGTTAAAAAGAAAATAATTTAGTCCTTTGAATATGTTTATCTTATTTTTTTTTGCTTTTACAAAGACTTGTGGGAATTGAAAGTTTTAATTGAAACGTTTGCCGAAACAGAAATTTATGTCTTTTGTTTTTTTTTTTTTTTTTGCGAAAAAAGAAACTTTTCTCTTCTCAATGAAAAGTTGTTCATTATAGCAAGTTTGGAAATAGCGAGAGAAGCTCTCGGAAATCATCTGGGAATTTCGTTGGTTTAATTCAGCAAGTTATAACTGGGTCTAGAAATTGATAATATATTTTGAGTTCAGGAAATAAGCGCACAAAATACGAGGAATAATTTATCGTTCGTAAATTATTGATAATTTTGCAATTATAGAAATTTAATAATGAGGCGAAAAATAATTCATATAAATTATTGTTTCTTCATTAAAAATTCTACGATATTTCGTACTAATTTAATTACACGAATAATAATCAATTCTATTCACTAAAACACAAATGAAACGATATTAAGTTTCTCCCCTTAGCAAAATTATCTCATTGAAAATTTTAAAATAAAAATATCAATTATATTCTTTATACTTTTCCAAAGTTGTACTAATACGCAACTAAATAAACCTGAGGTTACGACCCATTGTTTTGCATTTTCTAAACTCGTCATTGTTTTTTCTAACCATTTTTGTTGTTGTTGTTGTCATTTTCGTTTGTTTTAACTCTCGCGGTTAAATGTAACGCGTGAATTACGTCGGTAGTTAACATATAAACTCAGTAATTTTCAAACCATCTTTTCCATTTGAATTGTAGGCCATGCGTTTTTCATCGATAATAAAAATAAAAGTTTGTCAAAAAGAAGGAAGAGTTTGAGAACAATAAGAAACGTGAAATTAATTTTTTTTTCGTGATATTTTCTAAGAAATTTAAAAATGAATCAAATATCTATATAAAAACAAGAAATTGAGATTTGCATTTCCGAGATTCTGCGTACACCTTTTTAAATAATAAAATAAATTCTTGTATATTCCTACGAAACAAAACATTTTCTCATCTATCAGTCCGATTATCAGACATGAATATAATTATGTATATATAATGTATGGCGTAGGTGCTTGTGTTCACATTGTGCAAAGATGTTACTCTCTCATGGCCAGTATACCTTCTGTCTGTTGCCTCATGAAAGAGATTTATGATAACAACTGGACATGGCATATATACAATTTTTCAAATGCATATTAAAACTTATCTGTTTATATTTTAATAAACAAAACAAAAACAATATAATAAAAATTATAATAAAAAGAACAATTAAGAAAACAATGCTTTATATTTCGATTTCTAGAATTTTAATCTAATCTAGTTAATTTCTCTTTTTTTCAAATTTAGAATATATTTATTGAAAACAGCGGAGAATATTTTTCAAAAACTTATTGAATTATTAACGAAATGGGAAAGTTAATACAATCGAAAATGAAAGTGTCGATTTAAAAACCCGCCTATTTAAAGAAGCATTACAACTCTTTTATTTTATCATATTTTATATACTTTTAAAATGTCAAAGTTCCTATCGATACAATTACAAAATATTTCATTTAAAAGCTTAACTTTTTCATATGTCAACATTTAAAAAGAAAAACTTTCCAATCTATAGATGAGAATATTAAAATGTATTTTAAAATTATATAATACATCAAAAGTGTGCTTTCCAGTTCGAACTGTAAAATTTTATTTTACAGTTAATTAAATCATATGGAATATAATGTTTTTTTCAAAATTTAAATAGTCGAATAGAAATGTATATATCAGAATTGCCATAAAAAATTAATTTTGTATTTCCCTGATTTCCAGACAAAATTTTGACTTTTTCCCTGACCCTAAAGAATATTCTGATTCACTCCAAAAATTATTTGATACTCAAAAAAATGTTCTATTACATTTATTTACGAATTCTTTTAATTGTAAAATTATTCGAAAATATCAATAAATTCTTATTTAAATAAATATTTAATTATTATTATTCCATAGGAATTCAGATTTTCAAAAAATTTCAAATTCAAACTTTTATGAAATTCAGCAACTTATAAGAATATTTTTCCGTTTTATAATAATTTAAATTTCCATAAAATTAAAAAAAAAATTAAATTATTTACAAAAATTTTAATAAAATCCTTCGCAAGAATTTAATTATTTCCATAAATAATAAAATTCTTTACAGGATTTTAATTATTTAAGAAAAATGTTATGAAATTCGTTGTAAGAATTCAATTATTTTCATAAATAGTACAAATTTTTCATAGAATTTAAATTATTTTAAAAAAAATTTTTAATCAATTCCTCGAAAAATGTAATTATTTTCAAAAATTTGTTGCAAAAATTTAATTACATTTCACAAATAATGAAATTCTTCTCTGAAATTAAAATATTTTCAAAATCTACTATTTTAATAAAATTTCTCAAAAGAATTCAATTATTTAAAAAAAATGTAATAAAATTCCTTGCAAGAATTCAATTATTTTCATAAATAATAAAATATATTTACATGATTTCAATTATTTAAAAAAAATTTAATAAAATTTCGTTACAAGAATTCAATTATATTCATAAATAATAAAATCTTCACAGGATTTCAATTATTTAAAAAAAATGAAATAAACATTCGTTGCAAGAATTCAATTATTCTTCTAAATAATAAAATTATTCACAGGAATTCAATTAATTTTAATACAATTTTAAGTAAATTGTTCGAAAGAATTCAATTATTAATTATTTTAAATAATTTTTGCAAAAGTTCCTTGAGAATTTTCAAATCCATATGTTTACAATTCAATTTTACGAAATTTTGATTATTCGGAAATTCTTCAATTAAATATATTTAGAAAACACAAACTTGAAATAATTTTAAAAAAAACTTCAGTTAAACTTTTTCAAAAAATTAATTCTACAAAATTGTTAGTTAAAAGTATGAAAAATTCAAATTTTCAAAGCGTTGAATTTGCAACCTTTTCGAAATTCAATTATTTCTAAAAATTCGCGCTATAATAATTTTACTATTCAATTATATAAAATTTTAACTGAAATTCATTATAAAACAATTTTTATTAGAAAATTCTACGAGAATTTAATTATTTAAGAAAAAAATGAATAATTTATTGAATAATTGAATGTTTCTGAAAATTGTATTTTCATAAAGAATTTTATCAACAATGTTTTTAAAAAATTAAAATTTTTTCGACGAATTTTAATGAAATTTTCAAGAATAATTACATTTTTCGAGAGATTCGATTAAAATTGTTTTAAAAATAATTGAAATTCTATGATCAGATTTATTATTCATTAAAATAATTGAATTTCTAAAAAGAATTTTTTTATTTCTGAAAATAATTGAATTATTGTGAAGAAATTTATAACAAATTTTTAAATAATTGAATTTCTGTGAAACTTTTATTATTTATGAAAATAATTCAATTTTTACGAAGAATTTTATTAAATTTTTTTTAAATAATTGAATTCTTTAGGAATATTTTATTAAAATAGTAGATATTAATAATCATTGAATTAAGAAAAATTTTGGAAAATAATTGAAGTTTTACCAAGAATTTTATTAAAATTTTTGAAAATAATTAAATTTTGGAGAAGAATTTTATTATTTTTAAAGATAATTAAAATTTTGACGAGAATTTTAAAAATTTTTTGAACATAATTGAATTTTTGCGAAGAATTAAAAAAAAAATCCCTGACTTTTCCCTGACCAATTCTTCTTTCTCTGACCTGTTGCAACCCTTTATATAAAATGTATATAAAAAGCGCAGAGTTTAAAAAAAAAAATATATATATATATGTATTTATATTTACAAAGATCATTCCTGTGTTTCCTGACTTTTTTTTTAACCTTTATTTCCATTTCTCATGTTCGTTGATAGTAATTTTTTTTCACATGTTTTCTGTATACTCATCCCGTCATTGATCGCCTACAATATTGTAAAAATGTATTTATACTCGATAGAATGCGTATATATGTGCTCTCTATTCTGTCATGGCTCGGCTGCTATACAGGCCGTATTTTTTCCTCTTTGAACAGAAACCAAGAGGTGTCCAACCTAGAAACCGCCTTCTTCGCGGGATAGCAACTTATCCTCATCGCACGCCAATTATAAACAATTACCCATTCACGCAACAGCCGGTTTCATCTGTCCACACTCTCTTGAATCTCTATTAAAGGTACGTAGTTTTATCACACTTTTACTGTACACCGTTAGAGAGAAAAAAAAGGAATCTCAACTCCAAATGATCAGCGTGTGAAGGGTTCCATTTTGATAAGCAGCGAAAATAATACCGGTCACTTATTTTGAGATTCTTTATTGACACCAAAGTTTCGAACAGCGTCGAGTTCCTTTTGAAATACAAGGTTAAAGTGTAAATTATCTCTAGAAAAAGGAGAAAACTACGTTACTAAAATTCTCAACGTTTATAATCAACAATTTAGATATTTAAAAGAAAATATATTTTTACTATTATATTTAAAACGTTTTGCATACTTTCTTGATGGATAATTTAAAAAAGAAAAAATTTTATTGTCTTCCTCGTGAAAAATACTTTATTCTCTCAATCATCGATTCTAAACGTTGTGAACTTTAGTGGCGTGAAAAACTAATATTTACGAACCAAAACTTTTTCCAAAGTTTCAGTTCAAATGAACGAAATTTTTTTTATCAATTTAAATATAGTTTCTAAAAACTAATCTAATAAAAGGAAAAATAAAATACATTTGAAAATATTTGAATTTCAGCGAAGAATTTCATTATTTGTGAAAAGTAATTGAATTCTTACAAAAAATTTTTGAAAATAATTACATTTTTCGAGGAATTTATTCAAAATTGTATTAAAAATAATTTAAATACTGTGAAAATTTTATTATTTATGAAAATAATTAAATTCTTGCAAGGAATTTTATTACTTTTTTTTTTAAATAATTGA